ATGCTCCTTTGGCCAGAGGCTACAGGGGGGAAAAGAACAGCAGACCTTGAAGAACATTCCCCAGCAATCTGAACCCCCAGTACCTCTACCCATCGCAAGCAGAAAGAAAGGGCGCGTGAGAGTGCAGAGCAGGGATCTTCCTCTCTGCGGATTGCAGGACCCACAAGGGAAGCGTTTATCCCAACAGGTCAGGATCAAGTGGGCACTGTGCAAGTTTCCCCTGTGCACCTCTGTGAATGCACCTTGACCTTGATTCCCAGCACGCCTGCTATCCTAGTACTCTATTCCCTCTTCCAACACCAGCTTTATGAGTGCATCTCAGGCCAGGTCTACACTAAACCCGGTAGCTCAGCATAAGGTATGCAACTCCAGCTATGCAGAATGCCTTAAGCTGGTCGTCTCCAACCTTTTTAACCACAAAATCACTTTTTCAATTTAAGTACAATGTAAGATCTCTCTCAAACACAAATACCCCTGCCCCACTTCTTTCCCACCCCTTCTCTGAGGCCCTGCTCCACTCCTTCTCCGAGGCCTCACCCTGCTCATTCCATCTCCCTTCTTCCCCCATCCTCACTCACTTGCACCAGGCTGGGGTAGAGGTAGGGGTGCAGGTTCTGGTCTTGGGCCAAGGAGTTTAGCGTGAGGGAGGGGCTCTGGGTTTAGCCCAAGGCAGGGGACTGGGGTCCAGGGTAGGATTCAGGGTGCAAGCTCTGGGAAGGAGTTTGGGTGCTGGGGAACTCACGTCTGGGGCAGGAGGTTGGGTGCAGAAGGAGGTTCAGAGCTGGGACAAGGGTTCAGGAAGCAGGCTCTGACTTGACCACCACTTAATTGAGACAGCTTCCAGGTGTGGAGCAGTGGGATTAAGGCAGGCTTACTCCTGCCCTGGCCTTGCACCACTCCGGAGAGCACATGGCATGTACAGCAGTGGCTCCATGGTGCCATGTACTGCCCCTCATCTACAGGCATTGAGCCCACAGGTTCTACTGGCCACAGTTCCCCATTGCTGATCAATGGGAGCTGCAGAAGTGGTGTCTGCAGGCAGGGACAGCATGTGGAGACCCCTCCTGCCTCCCACTCTGCCTTTCTCGGGGGCTAAAGGGACATGCCAGCCACTTCCAGGAGCAGCCATTACCACAGGGATAATGACTCCAGCCACGCCAGGTTAGGCATTTTAGAACTCGCTACTCAAAGAATTAAATGTAAGCGTAAGAGAGAAATGAAAATTATGAAATGCACAGACCAGTCAAAACCAAAATAACCCACTTTGCAAGCAGTAAAAGAAGTAACAACAACCCCCCCCCCCCCCACACACACACACACAGATGTGTTGGGTTGGGAGATTAGAGTGAAGGACAGTGCGTGTTCGTGAGAATGACAGAGACACACACAGTGTGCGAGTGACAGAGATTGCATTGCCAAGCTCCTCCATCCCCTTCTCTCTGTGTGGAGACAGGGTATAGGAGTGGGAGGAGAGGAGACACCCTACACAGCAAGCAGGAGACTCTGGGGGTGGGGTGGAGGGTAGCTCCAAGGGAGAAGGCAGGAACAGTATGATAGTGGGTAGAGGGGCAACTGAAGTGCTAGCACTTGATAGCTTTCTGGCCAAACTAATCAGGATCACCTGTCAGAGACTCCAAGATCTACTGATAGATCTCGATCTACTGGTTGGTGACCATTGTCTTAAGCCAAACTTGATAGTCTCCCCATAGCAGGAGGCTGATGGCAGTAAATGCTCCTGCCAGCTTCCCTTACTCCTCGCAAAAGCAGGAATACCGGACACTGGCGGGAGTGCCCTCTAAGTTTGATTTAGCAGGTCTTAACTAGACTTGCTAAATTGAACTCCAGGAGATTGATCACGGCAGCACTGATCTTCCGTGGAGTGAAGACAAGTCCTTACCTGCTGCCCCTTCCCACCCTCCACTCTTCCAGTCCTTGGGGCCCTCCTCAGACAGCCAAGAACAGATGTCTTGAACTTGCAGCACCCTCTTCTATTCCAGGCCAGAGATTCCCTACTTTGCTCAAGGCTCCTGATCAGCCTTACCCCTCTGCTACTGCAGTCCTGCGTCTCTGCAGTGCCAAGTGTGTGATGATTCTGGGATGCAGACACAGAGGAGACAACAACACAAGGCCTCCAGCAGTTTCCTACCCCTCTAGAGTTTGATAGGATAGGACAGGACTGATTCCCTCGCACCAGCAGTAATGCACAGCCATGCTGAGCTCTTATGGAATCTATATTTAGCTTCGATGTCTTCCGAGTTTGGCTCTGAGAGGAAAACGATCAGGCAAAGCACAGTGTCTCCCGGCGCAAGGAAGTGGTCTCGAGTCAGACTCACAGCGGATTATCTGATTGAAGCTAAAATAAACTCAACACGACGTGTTTATTGTTAGTTTTGGCCCGCTCCAGATCGGTTTGGCTGGAGGCAGGGAGAATCAGAAACAGCTCTGATGGGCCAAAAAAGCCAATTATTCAGAGACTCTGCCTCCACCACAAAGGCATTATGTGAAATGTAAACGCGTCGGTACAAGTACTATCCCCCGTCCCTGCAAGGTTTATATAGCTCCGGTCTAGGAGGAAGAACAGCTTCTGGCATGTCCCAGGGCTTAGGTGTGTCAATACATGCACTGCATCTAAGGTATCTGCACACACCAGGGAACTAAAGAACTTTAACATCACTGAATTGTCTGGTATTCGTGCTTCTGACTTTACCCTCATAGGCCTATCATAAAGTCTCTCGCTAGTCCCCATGATACACTGGGGGAAAGTCTCTCCCATCCCCAGCCACAACAGCTGGAATGCCATCTCTCCAGATGCACTACGGAGTCCGTTTGTTTGGCCTGATCTTTGCGGCGACCAAGCAGCATCGGACACACGGGAGTGCTGGTATTTGTATGTGGGAGAAGAGTTGAGCGGATTGAAACATGCATTGGAGTGGATGTTTTAATCCCTGGCAGAAAGCACAGAGAGCTTTGAATGGCAGCTCTTATTATTGTTTCTAAATGGAAAGAAAACAAAACCCAATTAAAGTAAAAAAAAATCATTCTCGACCTTTATCGAGAATAAGTCACTTGCATTTCCTCAATCTCTAAGCGCTTGGCTCTCTCCAAGGCTGGTTTTAAACCAATATTGCCCCATCTGGCTTTGACACAGTTCTATACTGCTGTAAGCGAGAGGAAGGAAGTCAGGCCCTGTATGTGTAGGTACAACCATGCCTGGGAGTTTTTCCATTCCTTTCTCAGTGAATCAATTAAACTAACAGAAGAAGCAACCTAATTCCAAAACCACTGGCTATACGTGGAAGGCAACTGCAGGCACCAGTAAATTACTGCTGTTAAACCATTCCTGTTTCTTCAAGTCCTCTGCGGCTTTGTGACTCTTTGTGAGGGGGAACACACAATCTGAAATGCTGGGAAGGGACAGGATTCATCGGACTGTATGCCCCAGCAATCACCCTCCCTGCCCCCACACCAATTATAATTCCCCACTGAGCTCACTGCCTGACATTCGCGCGACTCATTCCACAGCTGCCATAATTGCTGCAGGGAGTAATCCGCAAGAAATTTACAATGTGCTCTCAGTTAGTTCCAACGAGCAGCCCCGAAGCATGTCAATAACACGTCCGTGCCCAGCCCTCCTCTGCAATCCAAGCCTGGGTTCTTCCTTCCCCTGCCTCACGCCCGCCGAATGATTAACTTGCTGGTAGGAACAGGGAGTCGAGCATCATAGGCTTAAGACGGAGGCTGGGTGCTGCCAGGTGGAAAGATTTCCTTTCTACACATTAAATTGATGGATCCGTGGAAACGAGTCTGTGGAGCAGCCACGGCAAAGCACTGGAAGCCCTCTGACTGCCTAGCCCAGGTGAAAATTCAGCTGTCAGAATGGCTACGTCTACATTGGCATCCCTTTCCGGAAAAGGGATGCTAATGTGACGAGTCGGAATTGCAAATCTGCGGGGGATTTAAATATCCCCCGCGGCATTTGCATTTACATGGCTGCTGCTTTTTTCCGGCTTGGAGATAAGCCGGAGAAAAGCACCAGTCTAGACGCGATTCTCCGGAAAATAAGCCCTTTTCCAGAGGATTTCTTATTCCTACTTGAAAGTAGGAATAAGAAATCCTCCGGAAAAGGGCTTATTTTCCGGAGAATCGCGTCTAGACTGGCGCTTTTCTCCGGCTTTTCCCCAAGTAGGAATAAGAAATCCTCCAGAAAAGGGCTTATTTTTTGGAGAATCACGTCTAGACTGGCGCTTTTCTCCGGCTTATCCCCAAGCCGGAAAAAAGCGGCAGCCATGTAAATGCAAATGCTGCGGGGGATATTTAAATCCCCCGCAGATTTGCAATTCCGACTCGTCACATTAGCATCCCTTTTCCGGAAAGGGATGCCAATGTAGACACAGCCAATGAGTTTAGCCTGACCTCAAGCCAGGAGAGATACCAGGCTTCCTCCCTGCCCTGCTCAGCCCAAGGAGCACCCTCTTAGTCCTGGTGAGTCTTGCATCGCTCCAGCCACGTTCCCTGGGCCTCAGTCAAATGTAAAGCTAGAATCTCATTGCACACTAGAAGCTGTGCCCGATCTTAGCTTTCCTGTGCAGAATACGTTCCCCAACGCAGCCGGGGGAAGCGATGGTCTTGGGAGAACAGAATGTTTGGAGCATGGTAGACAGGCTGCTCAAAGGGAGGAGCAGGAATACCACCCACTCATCTCAGATGCTGTAAGACTGAGGGCATGGTGAGAGCAGCAGCAGGTGTGTGTGTGAGGGCAGAGGTTGGGGTGAAGCATGGAAGCACAACGGGGCACACGCACACCCCGATGCCAAGGTTGGGAGGAGTTCAGGGGAATCGGGAGTTAGCTGCTGGGGGCTGGCACCAGCGGCAGGTATCCAGCCCCCCTGCACTCACAGGCAGCGGGGGGGGTGACACCTCACGGCCCCAGTTGGCTCTGCTCTCCCAGCCACGTCGCTCGGGGGAGGGGCGGGACAGCCCCCACACTCACTGGCAGGAAGCAGAGCGCTGTGCCTGGGAGCCGAGAAACCTGGGGCCACGTTGCTCCACTTTCCCCACCACTGCCAGTGAGTGCAGGGAGGGGGCAGACCCCCACTGCTGGTGCTGGACCCGTGGCTCTGCTAGTCCCATGAGCTGCATCATTCAGGAGAGGAGGTGGGAAGAAGGGGGCAGGGGTGGAGCAAGGGCAGGAAGGACCAAGGGTTCCAGGGTGGGTCATGTGGTCGGTGGGCCCGATGGCCCCTGTCAGCAGTCGCCCCGGGGAAGGATCTAGTGAGACCGGGGAATAGCAGAGAGGGGCAGGACTTGTGAAGTCTCTGGCTCAGGGAGAAGGAAGCTCAGCTGCCCTTAGAATGCCCCTACGTCTGGAGACTGGGGGCACCACGCTGCAGTGCTGGAGACTTTTGAACGGCTCAGTTCTGACCCAAAGCCCCATGAAAGCAATGAGAGTCTTTCCATGACTTTCGAAGGGCTTTGGGTCAGGCTCCAAGGAGCAGAGTTGCTTCCTCCCACTTAAACTGGAAAAGCGTCAACGCCTTGAAAGTTCAGCTCTTAGAGCAGCGCCTTAAAGCAGTGGCTCTCAGCCCTTCCAGATGACTGTCCCCCTTTCAGGTGTCTGATTTGTCTTGCGTCCCCACCCCCAAATGTCACCTAAGTGTGTCCAAAATCACACACAAAAATACAACAGTGTCAGAGAACTCTGTTCCTGAAAAACTGCTCCCATTTGCATGTTATCGTATAATTATGACATAGTTCAATGGGAATATAGATATTGTACTTACCTTTCAGGGGCTAGTACACAGAATAGCATAAACCAGTCCCTATAGGACAGTCGTTTGTACTGACTTCGTTTGTGCTTTTAACGGTGCCTGTTGTAAAATTAGGCACATATCTCCGTGGGTTGAGACCTCTGTATACCCCGGGCGGGGGAGAGGGGACATACCCCCGGCTGAGATCCATGGCCCTAGAACATGCCCAGGCACTTCTTGTCCAGACGCTGAAATGAAGCGTTGGCACACACAGGCCCCATTGATCTGCCAGCTCTGGGGATGGGCGTAACAGACTTGATAACAAGGCCTGGGAAACCCACGCCCACAGGTCGGTTGCTCAGATGTCTTGATTCACATTCTCACTCCTAATTAACCAGGCAGCTCATCTCCCTCCCTGGCCCTGCCTATGTTTCAAGTATAACCTTGCTCCTATGCCAGAGACTGTGGGCAGCTGTCTCCCCTTGCCTGAGAAGTCCAGTCGGTCTGCAAACTGTGTCCCTAATCCTGCAGCCCTGAAGAGTCTCATTAGCAATGGGACTGCTTGACTGAATAAGATCTGTTGGATAGGCCCCTTCAGAGACAGGCATCTGTACAGCTGCCATGGAAATGCAGCCACTTTTGGGGTGTGGCACAGTTGCTAATTAACAGCATGAACACACCTGACTGTTGACTGAGTGACTGATAGCAACCAGCAACTCTACTGGAAAATGACTGTAAAAATGAAGTCATGAAATTGTGCGTCCATAGAGCTTGCATCAAGACTGCCCAACAGTAATAATGAGATTAATAAAATAAAATTATTATTATTATTATTATTAATAATAATAATAATCACTCACTCATCCCTTTGCAACTAACAGCCACACTATACATTATTATTCCATTTACAAGTAGTTTATAAAGGCTCAATGGATGTTTTCATAGATAGTTAATCAATTGCCCACAGGTTGCTAACAACCATGGTTTATAACCATTAATAGCATCTCCTACCAATGTCCTTCTAACCATATCTGTTCTATGCTTAGAACATTGAGTAACCCTTTAGTCACCCTTTCTAAGCTATTTATAAATGGAAGCTTAGTTTAAAGTGCAACCCATCTCAGGCTAGGTCTCCGCTCATAGGAACATCAACTCAAGATATGCAACTCTAGCTATGTTAATTAGGTAGCTGGAGTCGAGGTACCTTGTTTCACATTTCCCCACTGTTCCCACAGCGGGATAACAATGGGAGCAAATGCTTCCATCAGCTTCCCTTATTCCTTGCAGAAGCAGGGGTACTGGTAGTTGGCGGGGGCATCCTCTGAGTTTGATTTAGTGAGTCTTAACTAAACTCACTAAATCAAACTCCAGAAGATCAATCGCAGCAGAATCGATCTTCCGTCTAGTGGAGATATGGACTTTTTGTCACTGCTGGAACCATACATTCACACCAGGGATTGGAGAGGCAGGGGATGGTTCTTGCGAACACTTTGGGCTTGCCTACATGTGAAAATGATTCCACAATAAGGTAAAATGCAAATATAAAGTGGAACAGATAGTCCCGATTAACTAATTTGGAAAAAAAAGGCACTTTCATTCTGGAATAAGAGTGTCCACACATAGAATTAAGTCTGAAATAGTTATCCTGCAATAGCTAGTCTTTAATAACCCCATGTGCAGACAAACTCTTATAACAACTCCCAGGAGGCAATCTGAGACTACAGCGATGAGCATGGTAGAAGAACCTAGATACAGTAGTATTAGCTGTGAGAAAAATTCTACAGTCGAGACCTAACTGACAAGTGTTTGGATGTGTGAGGTCAGAGGTGAATGTTCCATTGGGGAAGAGTTTTAGGCTCAAGACAGACACACACACACCCAGAAGCATACTCTTGTTTGTCATGAAGTCAATGACAAAGCTACCCATTAATTTTAATGGGTATAGAATTGGCTATGATGGGTAAGAAGATGCCACATTTCCCAACCATAACCAGCTGTTAAGACCAGTGCTGTACTTCCAGCAGCCAGGTCTGAGAAGAGAGATGGGATCCTGGAACCAAGCTGTCCCTTTCTACAACTCTCCACAACAGCTCTAGGGGAGAGAGGTATCACAGGCTCAGTAGGACGTTGCAAGCACAGGCTGCGCTATCAGCTCACCGACTGGAAGTTCTGAAGTTCCACCAGGGTCTTCTTGTCCACAACGACCTGCCCTTTCAGTTTGCAGTGGAACGCTTCCTCCACCCGTTTGTAGGGCGCGGTCTCCTCCAGGGACAACAGGAGCGGAGGCAGTTGGCTGGGGTGGGCTGAGATAGCCAGAGATGCCCGCCGGTCAATGGTTTCTGTAAAGAAAAGAAAGAACATGGAAGGGCCATCTTGGATTTGGACTGAGCCATCACAGCTGCAGCAGGGGAGCATTTTTCTAATGTACACAATTTTTTAAAAACTCATGGTTTTTAAGGTGTATTGACTACAGTATTTGTACGCTGGCAGCCAACGATATTCAAACATATCTGAAAAGCCACCTCATTGTCGCTCCTTCTGATCCCACCTTAAATCTCTCCTTTAGCATAATACCTACAAAAAAATGTGACAACAGCTAGGAAGCTGAGATCACTCCCTGGCCTGGTATTGTTTCCCGTATTATACTTTGATTATAAGCTCTTTGGTAGACGCTGTACAGAACAAAAAAGATGGTCCCTGCCCAAACTGGGATTCTTGGGGCTACTGCAGTACAAATAATAAAGAATAATAAAGAGGCTACATTCTAGCCCTAACATGGCCAGTATGGACAGTCCTGTTCCATCCTCTAGTCCATACCTTGGTCCCTACATATGTTCGCCAAAGCTTTCTCTAGTCCTAGCTTAAATGACCCAATGCAGAAACTCCCTCACTCCCCTTTGGACAGACCCTTTCAAGTCCAGTCCAAAGAAGATCTCACTCTGGAACTTTATTGCTATTGCTCTGCTTAGAAATGTTAGTCCCATGTCGCCAGCTCTCCTGGTTCTATCGCCAACCCAATGTTTGGGTTGTTCCCAAAGCATCAGTTCCTGGCCTTCTCGGAATCATGGGGAAATCTGTGCTTTCCTTTTTGATGAATGAGCACATTTCTAGCCTTTATAGTTGCATGGATAAACTTTAAAAAGTGACCCTCATGCTTCCAAATTCGGAAGATGAATAAAGTGTCCACAGTTTCCTGCCCCCGTCTTATGACTTTTACATCAGTTTCCTGATTTCTGAACACTTGTCCTCGGGAATATTACTCATTCCATTCTGTTACACTCACCTGGAACTCCCTAAGCCATTCCTCTTCCTAATATCATTGACGAGAAGAGAGGGGAAGGTTGACCAACATAGGCCCATATCCTGCAACCTTGTGCAAGCAAGCTAAGCCAGGCACCTGCTCAGAACTCCATTGGCTTTGTGAAGTCAAGTCAGTGGAATTTAAGCACTGCCCTGAATCAGGACATTCATGAAAGGAGCTTCCACTCACTTGAGATGGGGCTGTGGGTGCCACATTTGTGGGTGTGTGAAGGAGAGATAGAAATGCAGCTCCAAGCACCTTTACCTTTTAGTATCTGCTTGAACTCCTGCAGCAGGACTTCCTGGGTGACTTCTGCCCCTGGTGCTCCTGGAGGTCCCTGGGGGCCCGGCGGCCCTGGGGGCCCGACAAGGCCACGCTAAGGAAATAGCCGAAAGAAGACAATGGAAATGAGATCCGGCAGTAACTCCTAGCAACACACCAAAGCCACCACCAAAGAGCTGCATCCTGCAAGCTGAGTAGACCTTCTTCACCAGGGGTGCAACTGAAGGTCTGGGATGGCACCCACGGCTCAGGCTGGCTCTCTGCCCATCTGGGACTGCCAGACAGAGGACTGATCACCTGAGGAGTGATGTGAATAAGAGGCTACAAGGCCAGGCCTTTCCTTTGGGTCTTTGGAGGGAACTTGAGTTTGCGCCTTCTGTTTTTACCTTCCAGCATCCCAGATGGCAGCATGTCACCAGCCTTTGGGGGCTGGGTTTGTTATTTTCTCTGTGGTGCTGCTGCTGATTGCCCGGGGGAGCAGCAGAGCCACTTTATGACATAGCTGGGGCCCTACCAAATTCACGGTCCATTTTAGTCAATGTCATGGTTACAGGATTTTAAAAATAGTAAATTTCTTGATTTCTGCTACTGAAATGTGAAATGTCACAGGGTTGTACGTGTAGAGATCCTATCCCCAAAAGGAATTCTGCGTGCACATGTGTCTGGCGGGGAGTGGGAGGTGGGGATTGCACTACTGCTATCCTTACTCCTGTGCTGCTGCTGGTGGCGGTGCTGCTTTCAGAGCTGGGCAGCTAGAGAGCAGTGGCTTCTGGCCAGGAGCCCAGGTCTGATGGCAGAGCTGCTGCCAGCAGCAGTGGTGCAGAAGTAAGGATGGCAGGGTATGGCAATCCCACCCTTACTTCTGCACTGCTGCCTTCAGAGCTGGGCCCTAGGTTAGCACCACGACTCTCCAGTCTCCCAGGTCTGAAGGCATCAGCGTGGCATAGTATGGTAGTGCACTCCTTACTTCTTCATTGTTGCTAGAGGTCGCTGCCTTCAGAGCTGGGCACTCGGCCAACGGCCACTGTTCCCCTGCCATCCAGCTCTGAAGGTAGAAGAAGGAAGGGTGGCAATACTGAGACCTCCCAAAAATAACCTTGCCACCCCCTGCAAATCCCTGTTGGGTCAGGACCCACAATTTGAGAAACACTGGTCTCCCAAAAGGCCAGATGTCATGGTGGGAAACCAGATTTCACAGTCCGTGATGCACTGTTCATGGCCATGAGTTTCGCAAGGCCCCAGACATAGTTAAATAAAATCCATTAGGCTTGGCAACAAACTCATTGATTTCAATTTCTGCAGTTGTGGGAAATTATGGAGGGGAGTCTGACAATAGTTATTTAAAGGCAGGAGATTCTAAAAATTAAAGCTAACTTATGGGCATCCCGTTCCAGCTCCATAAACACCAGCTCTACAATACATTTCATACACATGAAGGTGGGACTGGTTCTCATGAGGTATGGTTCAGATGGTGCCTATTTTTGGTCACTATCCATGGAACTATTTTTTTTCGGACTGCATCTGGATGATGCAACTGAAGCTTACTGGCATTTACTGATACAAATCGCATCCTTCCAACCCTACGAATCTTGCAATGACATAAGGATGGTGTAATTCTATGAGAATGGGTGTTTGGTGTGACTGTTGTGGATGCCAGCTAGGGCTCCTGGAAAGGAGAAGTAACTAATTTGTACTGCCTGGAAGAGGGCCTCTGTGTCCTAAACTGATTAACACATCGGCCTTCAAAAATAATAATAATGCCCAGCCGTTATCTAATGCTTTTCATCAGCAGGTCTCAAAATATTTTACCTAAGAGGTCAATATTGTTATCTCCTTTTCACAAATGGGGAAACCGAGGCATTGAACAGTAAAGAGACTTTCCCAAGCTACCCCGAACAGCAGTGGTTAAACCAGGTCTCCTGGCAGTCAGTTCAGTACTCTAACCACCAAGTCATTCTGCTATATCGTGCACCTGTGGAGGCTAAAATACTTTACGGAGCCTTAATACTTGTCAGTTAAAGGGTAAGTCTCCACCCAAGAAATAGGTGCTCTAAAAGATTTGTTGCGAGAAGTAGAATATGTGTATATCTGTATCTCCGCATATGTGTTTTGTATAAATGCAAACACACACTCATGCACACAGACACACATCACTTTACATTTATATAGCACATTTTGTTCTAGTTTCCCAAAAAGCTTTACAAACTATAAATACATATAGTACCACTAAAATGCAGTCATCTCTTTGGTGGGAAGGCACACAGAGAGCACCATTTATAGCAGCAGTTTAAGGAAAAACCTTAGGACCAATGTTCTCACTCATTTTTTCCATCTATGGGCTGAACAATTTTTGTTATGTGCACTGAGGCATGTGTGGATGTGTACCACCCATAGAAACACCTGCTGCCAGCTGGTTGTGGGCGTTCTGCTAATCGGCAAGGCAGCACTTGAATGTCTCCTGGGTGGCTGCCCCAGTGCACAGCTTACGGGGAACATTGCCCAGGACACAGATATTTGTGATCCGGCATCATAGTCTAGCGGTAACCTACTAATTTCTTGTCTCTCCCTTTGCATTTCCTTTTGGAGTTGTTGCCATCGTCCGGGCGATGTACAAATGAGATCCAGGTGCGCCGGGGATCTGTGATTCGAGGATCAGGAGATTCTAGAATCTGAAGAGAAATGAGAACAAAGATTGGACGTCATTGTGTCTCTTCATCCATTGACAAGAATCCCAAATGCAGACAGCACTACTGTCTGGTATCTAGCAGGAGAACTAATGAGTAAAGGAGGCCTAAAGTTACCAACCCCCTGGATCCAAACTAAGGATGTTAAGGACTAGTCGACTAGTCAATCTC